ACAGAACACAGTGGGGCGTCACCCCCCCACAGAGCGCCCCAGAACAGAACACTCCCTCCCCCCAGGGCCGAGGTGCCCGGGAGCCCGGCTGGGAGCAGGCCCCGGCCCCAGTAGGCGGGCGGCTTCTGAGATGCTGCCTGAGGGCCGAGAGGCCTGGCAGGGGGGCGGGGGGCATCCCCACCCCAGACAGGGCCCCCCAACTGCAGACCCGGCTGGCCGAGGACCGCAGGCAGCCGCCCGGGGACCCACGAAGGGCTCTGTCCCCCAGCAGCTCACAAGGCCGCCCTGGGGAGGCCTCCGCGGGTTCCCGAGAATGCAGCGCCAGGCACTGCGCAGGTGCAGAACGGGGGCGCGGGGAGCAGCGGCACCCCGACCGGCAGCCCAGGGCCCTGGACGGGTCGGGGAGACTCCCCGGAACGCGGAAGCCAGCAACCAGGGAGACCCGTGTCCGTCTGGGGACGAGGAAACCAGGCCCCGAGAAGCCGCCTCGCTCACCCGCGCCGCTCGCGCGGGGACACGGGGACACGGGGTCTCCGGGACACAGGGCGGACGGGCGGAGCTGCAGGCGGGCGCCGGCGGCAGGGGCAGGGGCAGGGGCAGGGGCAGCCGGAGCAGCTGGGAGGGCCGGCGTGAGCGCGTGTGCGCGGCCCGCTCCCCGGCACCGGCCCGGGCCGACGATCGGAGCTGCTTTCTGCTCCATTTCCCGCACGCTCAGCCGCCGAGCCAGACGATCGCTCTGTGGCTCTGGGGTGCAATTTCCCCGTCTGGGAGGCGCTGGGGCGCCGCGGCCCTGCACAGCTCGCTCAGGTGTGCGTGTGGGGGGGGGCCACCAGCGAGCCCCTGGTCCCACTGCTTGCTGAGGGCCCCGGGGGGAGTCCAGGCAGGTGGCCCGGCAGGGGTGGCCGTCAGGGCAGCCCCCTTCTCCCGGGCCCACCCGGCACGCCGGACGGCACCAGCCGCCGTCCCCCCTCCAGGGTCTCGCTGGGGTCCAACACCCAGACCGGCCCCCACCCTGGCCCGGGCGGCTCTGGCTGAGGTCCGGGCGGGTGGCCTTCTGACACCCACGCGCCCCCGAGACCAGAAGACGTGTGTCCATCCTGCAGGTGGGCAACGGGGGCTCGGCAAGGTGGGCGGACGGGCGGCCACCCACTCGGGCAGCTGGGACGGAGGGAGGACCAGGACCCAGGGTCCCGAAAAGCGACAGGGCGTGCCTCCTGGGGTCCCCACCCTGGTGGCCTCGTCCTTGTAGACAGACTGGGCTGGGGAGGGGGGTGGAGCGAGAGCCCCAGGGGCCTGAGTGGCGGCGGGGGGGCGGGGGGGGGAGATGGGGTACGCAGACAGAGCCCCGGCTGGGGCTGCCCCCAGGAGAACGCAAACGCTGCACGCACGGGAGGCCCAGGAGGGGGGACGCCCTCCCCGACCCCTGCTCCGCACCCCTGAAATCGACCTGCTTGACCAGCGTCGGGAGGAGGGGCTGGAAGGTGATCCCCCCCAAGCCCCCACCCCATGTCCAGCCCCACCCCTGGCCCGGCTCCCGTGGAAACGGGCCCACTCGCGGGCCACCTCAGGCCCTGGCTACAAAAGGCAGCTACCAGCGAGGAACTTAGAGCCAGTGGGGAAGGGAAGAAGGGCAGGTCCCGGCTTGCGAAGTCTCAGCCGGCGCCAGCTCGGTGGTCTCTGCCATGGCCCCCGGGGAGCGGGGGCTCGGAGCCAGGCCCAGGGGCTGGGAGGAGTCCTCTGCCCCCAGAGGGTGGGCCTGGCCCGCCCCAGGAGCTGGGCCCTGGCACACGCCCGTGGGGGGAAAGACCACGGAGCCCAAGAGCAGGACACCCACAGGCAGCGTCCGGCGGCTCCGGACAGGCCTCTGCGGCTTTCTCCCCGCCCCCCAGCCCCACGCCGCCTTCTGCGTAGCTACAGCCTGTCCCGCCTCCCTCCCCTCGGCCCCTCTGCTGGTACGGGGGCCCGGGCACGCACACTCCACCCGCCGGGGCAGGGCCCCCGCCCCCAGAGCACCCACGCCACGCCCGCACACTGATTCCACAACTACCCGCCCCCTGGCTTCCTTCCCCGGGGGGGGGGGGGGACGTGAAAACCACCACCCACAACTGCCCCAGCACCCGACGCGGCGAGGGCCCAAGGGAGAGCAGGCCGAGGGCCTCCCGGAGGAGGCGCAGCTCCCGCAGGCCCTGAAGGACAGGCGCAGCTGGACGAGCTGGTGGAGCCGCCGAGGCCTGGCTGCGGGCCCCGGCCCTCTCTCCCGGCCCGGCCCGGCCCCGGGGCCCTCCCCCGGCGCATCCCCCCGTGCCTGGGCAGAGGGGGTCAGGGCTGCACACTGGGCCCGGGGACCACGGCCGGCCCCGGGGAAAGGGTGCCAGCTGGCGAGGCCACGGCCACGGCCAGGCCGCACGTGAGAGCTGTTTTTCTCGCCCTGACACTTCCCCGTCTGCAAACAGAGCCCCCTCCCGCGTCCAGCAAAACAAACGCCCCGGCCGTCGGCGGTGCCCGGGCGAGACGGAGCTGCCCGGGCAGGCGGACGCCCCCGTCACGTGACCCTGTTATTTCGGGAGGCCCCGGGACGCACTCTATTTTGGGTCCCGGAGGCTCTGAGGTTCCCGGGAGCCCCTCGCCAGGGCTCCAGGGCTCCAGGCTCCGCCTGGTCTCAGCGAGCCCCCCGGGGAGTGGTCAGTGGGCCTAACACTCCGCTCCGGGCCTCCCGCCCCTGACACGGCACGTGGGCCGCTGGCTGCCAGGGGGTCTGGGGCGGCCCGAGACCTCCAGCCTCGCCACACAGGCTGCACCGGCCAGGCCCGCCGTCCGGGCGGATGCCAGCACAGGCCTCGCCCGCGGAAGGGGGTGGGGGCGCCGGCCGGCCCAGGCGGCAGGGGCAGGAAGGAGGGGCTGCCTGGGGCGAGCTGCACCCTGGGCCCATCCCCGCCCCCTGCAGGGCGTGGGGGTCGGCCGGCAGCAGCCGGAAGGCCCTGGGGTGGTGAGGGTGAGCGTCCACCCAGCCCCACGGGGCCCGCCGAGCCCCGGGGCGCTGGGAGGCGGGAACTCTCCCTGCCCAAGGCCCCGAAGGCGGCCGGACGACTCCAGGGAGCTGCGCAGCCTCCCCAGCAGCTCGCCGGCAGGCAGGCCTCCCACACGCGCCCCCCGGGGGGGATTAGACTGTGTTGACCAAAGAGCTTAGGCAAGTGGCTGCTTAAACGGACCTTCAGCTCCACTGGACTTCAGAGCTGGCCAGAAGCTTAGAGAAAAATACAACGTGAGCAGAGAGCCCAGGTCTCTCGGCTCAGGCCCGGGGTGTGCGGGCTGCCCGGGAGGCCGCTGCCGCGGTGGCGGGGGCAGCTGTCTGTGCCCCGGGGGGCAGTGGCTCACAGGCACCCCCTCTCCTCCGATGGGGACCCCGGCACACCCACCTGCAACCTGGGCCCCACGTGCACCGAGTCCGAGGACGTCAGGGGCGGCAACCTGTCCCGCGCCCAAGTGCCCGGCAGGGCCCAGGCCCGTGGGGGGTGGGAGGGCGTGATGGAGCCCAGCGTTCCGGTTCCAGACGGGATCCCCCGGGAGAGCCCGGCTCCGTGTGCGTGTGGGTGCGTGTGTGTGTGGCCGTGCGCGCGCGACGCTTGGATGGGGGACAGGAGGTGGCGGCCCACACAGGAGCTCGCCAGGCCAGACGCTAAGTCCCAAACAACTCGGCTTTCTTCCCGGCCCCACGGGCGGGGGTCTGCGTCCCGAGGCCCCCCCCCCGCTTGGCAGCCTGCGGCCTCGGCCTTCCCCGGCCAGTTCTCGTATCTGCGGCCTGGGCCTGCGTGCCCACCTCCAGGGGTGCTCGGGGGAAGGCCGGCCGCCTCGGGCAGGGCGCCTGGGCTCTGGCAAACTTGGAACCCTACCCCCAGTCACGCGGAGGCAGGCGCTGTGCGGGTGCCCAGGGCTCAGACCCTCACCCCGCCACCCCGGGGGCCGGCTCCCAATCTCGCCAAGGTCCCTGCGGCCGCTCTGACGGCCGGCCGAGCGGCCGGGCTGCACCCCAGGCTGCAGAGGAGCGGGCAGGCAGGAGGGGGGCCTGACCGTGGGGCTTCGTTGCGAATCAGCTGTTTTAATTTCCATTCAGGACAAATCCTTCACCCAGCCTGACAGCCTGGCGGCTGTCCCCACCACCGAATTAATACCCTTCCCGGCACTCATTTATAAAGTCTGCCCGCCACCTCCCCCTTCCCTGCCTCTCGCCGGCTCCCAAGCCCTGGGGAGGGCAACGGCGGGGGCGCCTGGCCATGCCCCCTCCTTCTCCCAGGTGGGTCCCGGCCTGGAGTTGGAGGGCAGTCTGCGGTGAGAAAGCCACCGAGCAGGACGGCAGTGCGAGGACAGGAAAACTGACCCTCGCCGCCTCTGGGGCGTCCTCGCCCGAGTGTAGGGCCAGCCCCAGAGAAGGCCCCGGAAAACACCCCGAGTGCGCCAGAGTGAGGGGCCCCGATTCTGGGAGAGGGCATTCCCAGGCTTGACGTCCCCGATCACCCGACCCCTCGGTGACCCTGCCCACGGCGCCGCCGGACTGCTCTAGGGGACGAGGGTCCCGTGTGCCCCGGCCGGCGGCCTGCTGGACTCGGCGGCCCGGGCGTGGGCGCGGAAGCCGTCCTGGTGCCAGGGCGGCCGGAGGCTGCGGGCGCACAAGTTGCTCCGCCCGGCCGGCCCGATACCTGCGCCGCCGGCTGGAGCCAGGCGCCCGGGCCGCGGGGCGCTGCCAGGCCGGGGCGCACGGACTCCGTCCCCGCCGACCCGCCGCGGCCCGCCGCCCTCCGGCTCCGCGACCCAGTCTGCGGCCCGGCGCGGGCCGGAGGCGCCCGCCACCCCGGCCCCCTCCCCGCCCGACGCGCACGAGGAAAAGTTGCCCGGCCCCCGGCCCCGGGCCCGACGCCCCAACTCCACGGAGGCCGGGCGGGGGGCGCCCCGCGCGCGCCGAGAACGCGCCCCCGCCCGCCGCCCGCCGGCCCGAGAGCACTCACCGAGCGGCAGGAAATGTTTGGTGTCCATGTCGGCGGCCACGGCGGGCAGCGGCGAGCGCGGCGGCCCCCGGCGCGGCCGGCCGGGCCCGGGCGGCGGGAGCCGGCGGCGGCGGGGCGGCGGCGGCGCGCGGAGGCCGCGGCGCGGCGAGTTGTTGCAAAAGTCGCCCAACAATGTAAACTACTTGTGCTGCGCGCCGCCGCCGCGCGCCCGCGCCCGCGCCCCCCGCCGCGCGCGCCCGCGCCCCGCTCCGACCGCTGCGGCGCCAGCGGGGGGCGGCGGGGGGCCCGCGACGGGCGCGAACTCGGCGCAGCGCCGCCGCCCCGCCCGGCGCTCCCGCCCCGCCCGCGCGCCCCCCCCCCACCGCCTCCCCCGCCCGCGCGCGCCCGCGGCCCTCCCGCCGGCCCGCCCGGCCGCCGAGTTGCGAGCGAGCCAGCGCGTTGCAAACTTGCAAGTTTGCCTCCGCCAGGGGTTCCCAGGAGCCGCGCGGGGGCGGCGGGGCGGGGGCAGGGCGCAGGCGGGAGCAGAATTCCCTCCCCGGCCTGCCAAAAGCCACTCCGGCGGAGGAGGAGAAGAGAAAGGCTAGGGAGCCCAGCTCGGCCGGGCCATTGTCTGCGCGGCCGCACAAAGCACCGCCTGCGGTGGCCGACAGTGGGGAAACTGAGGCCGCGGTGGCCGAGCCCCGACGCGGGAGCACGGGCTCGGCTCCTCCATGGGGGAGCTGTTTTTCTCCTGGGCACCCCCCAGTCCACCCCTCACTTTCTCGCCTGCGGGAAAGTGAAGGCCAAAGGGCACCCCAGCCCCGCCCCTGCGGCAGCCCCACGGCCAGCCAGGAAGGGGGGGCCTCTCGCGTTCCCTGCACGTGGACCGCGACCTCTTCGGGGACCCCTCTTTAAAGGCCCCAGGCCGAGGAGGAGCTGCTGAGAGCTGGGCAGCGACTCTGTGGCTGGTAGCTATTTTCGTGCCTGGGGTAGCTGTCTGCCCCGACTTTTAAATTCAGGATTTGTTTGTATGAAAACGAAAGGAGGCTGCCGGCCCTGCACAGCTTGGGCAGCGCGGGTTGGGGCTGGGTGGGGGCTACCTGGGCGGGGCCCAGCCTCCCCAGAGGGCATGCACAGCCCCCAGGCACCTCCCTGCACCCTGCACCCCACGCCAGGCTGACCCAGGGCAGATGCTCCCCTCCACCGCCCCTCCAGGTTGCTGCCGCCCAGACCCACCTGCCCTGCGGAGGAGACCCGGCTCTGGGGGACAGAGGCCGCCAGGGTGGCCCTGGGGCCGGGGTTGCCCACGGAGAGGGAGGTGATGCCTGAGTATCGCTGGCCCTCCCCGCTGCCCAGAGACGGCCACAGCCCTCGAAAGAGATGGAGCCCCACTCCCAAGGACACTGCCCTCCCACGAGGCTCCACGGCACCCCCTGTGAAATGGGGTGGGAACAGGGCCCACCTCCTCCACGGGGCAGCCAGGACCTGGGTCCCACAAGGGCCCCTGGGACCTGCCCAGGAGGGGAGCGCCATTCCCTCTGGGTGGGAGCGTGCTGGGGGTGCTGGGAGGGCAAGCACCGGCTGGGGAGCCCTCCCCCGAAGAGCCACAGGCCAGGCGGCTTGGCCCGCCCTTCCCGTCTCTGCGGGATCCCGGCCCCCTCCCCCCGCTGGCTCGCGGGCCCTCTGCCCCCTTGCCCGCCCCCACCCCGTGTGGCTGCAGCCACAGCTTTTAAATCCGATTTCCTCCCGCCTGGGCTGGGGGCGGGCACACCTAGGCACAGTGACCCGGGGATGGGGGCGCGGGCTGTGGGGAGCCCGTCTCCATCCCCTGGGCCGCGGCACACAAGCCGTGGACCCCTCGGGCCCCGAGCCTCCGGCTTGTCCGCCCGGCCCGTGTCGGACGGCCCCACAGCTGCCAGAGGAGAAAGGACCACGGGCCCGCTCCACGGGGAGGCCCCTTTCGGGTCCAAGTGACCAGGAGGAGAAGCCCCTCCCCATCCCGTGGGGACCTGGTGGGCAGTGGGCACTACGAACCGACCCGACTGGTGCGCCCAGGGAGGCCGGGAGAGGTGGCACCAGGACGCGTCACACAGCGGTGAGGACGAAGCCAGCATTTGAACCCGGGGCCGTCCCTAGAACCTCTGGGCCACTAAGGGTGTGAGCCAGGAACCCGTGGCCCAGCACTGCCTGTCCATCACCTCCTGTGGGGACAGCCCACCCCACTGCGCGGCCCTGGGTGTCACCCGACAAAAGTCTGCTGAGCCCTCGCCAAGGGCCAGCCCCCGGGCCAGGCCGGGCCGGGTGGGCCCCAGGCGCAGGTGTGGTCCCAGGTGGGCAGACACGGGCGGAGCCCAGCTCTGCCGCCCACCAGCCGCTCGGCCCCGCCCGGCCACTTCCCTCCCCGCGCCTCAGTGTCCTCATCTGGAAAGTGGGGAGAGCCACACCTTCCCCGTGAGTCACCGCGATGACTAACCGAGATAAGGCAGGGAGAGTCTGGGGTGGCGGGGGAGGCGCGCAGCCAGCGCTGGTGACAAGTTCTGTGATTGCTCTTCGCCTGCGAGCACGGCCCAGGCCCAGGCCCGGGCCCAGGCGGGGGCCGGGACACGCCCACGAGGCGCTGGGGCTGAGGGAGAGCGTGACGGGCGAGCAGGAAGCCTCGAGGACGGTGAGCACGGGGCAAGGCCCGGCCCGGCCAGGGGGCCCGGGGCAGCTTCCGGGGAGGGCTGCTTCTGGAGTGTGGCCTGACGGTGGGAGCTTTCCGTCAGGGAGGGAGGAGGGCAGGCGCGAGCAGGGGCCTGGAGGGAGGAGGCACCGTGCCCGGAGAGCGGCCCACTGGGCGAGCAGGTCGGAACACGCCGGGCGCGGGTGGGAAAGCCGGTCCCGGAGGCCTGCAGGGCTGGGCTCCAGACTCTGCGGTCGCCTCCGGCACCCGGCAGCCCGCACCCTGGGCGCCCGCCCCTCCCCCGGCCGCAGCCTGGCCACAGAAACTCTCGAGCGAACCGGAGACTGCAGGCGCCTGGAGCCTGGGAGCCCTCCACACGGACACATTCCCACCTGGGCTCCCCGCCCCAGGGGAGGCACAAGGGCTCAGGGCTGTCAAAGGGGCCAGAGGGGCCCTCTGTCCCTAAGAGAGACCCTCAAAGGCATCGCCCGGCCCAGCCAGCCCATCTCTGTCCTGGAGACCACGTGGACGGTGGCGTGAGCAGGGGGCCCGGCCCCACGCAGACCCCACGCAGACCCCCCCAAACCCCCGCAGACACTGCTGCCGCCGCCGCGGGCTCTCTCCCCCACCTGGCCCCTCTCACCTGTGGGCGTGGCCGGGGCGTTGGGGAAGGGAACAGGCAGGCTGTGGGGGGGCGGGAGAGGGCGGGGCCCGCACACTGGAAAATTCGAGTTCTGCTTGTTTTTTCTATTTTCACTCTCGCCTCCAGCGGGGGCCCCTCGGTGCCAATGATCGCCAGCGACAGGGCCCGAGCCGGCGGCCGCCCGGCTCGGAGAGGCCAGGCCCAAGGGAACCGTGGAAAAATCCGCCCCCCCCCCCCACCCACACACACACACACACACACACCTTCCCGCCATGTGCCTCTGCAGCCAGAAATATTTTTGTAGTAATATCCATCTATTTACAGCCTGGGATCTGAGAGGGGTTTGTTTTTTGTTTGGGGCTTTTTTATTCCCCTGAAGGGTGCTTTTGAAGGTATTTGGGTCTGCTCCCTGCGCCTGTCTCGGCCCCGTCTCGTAAACAGTCTCCGGAATTGCCGGCGAATGATGTTTTGAAAGGCGGGCGTCTGCCGGGCTGGGGCCCCCGAGGCTGGCGTCTGGGCGGCCAGCTCCCGGCAGCTCCCGCAGCACCAAGAGGCCCCTCGGCTGCCCCCGGTTCCTTGCCCCCAAGGAGGGCATGTATGACCCCCAAGGGGTGACCAGAGGGACCTCAGAGGGGGGGTCGGGGTGCTTGTCCCCAACCAGGATGGCAGTGGCTTAGGCTCTTCCAGCCTGTCCTCGTGCGCAGCTGGCCTGTCTCTGTCCCCAAGCAGCCTACCAACCCACAGGGCCCTTATCACCGCCTCTGTGGCTCGTTTGGGGGTGACGCTTTCTGCCTGTGGTAGCGGATGACTCAAAGGGGGGCGGGGCGAGGCCAGAGAGCCTCGCCCAGAACCGCATGGCAAAGCCAGGCTCAGCGACCAGCCTCGCAGAACCCCCCCACCGTTCCCCATTTCGCAGACGGGGACACTGAGGCCGAGGGGGGCAGGGACTGGCGCCAGCACCTCGCCACCACGGTGGAGGTCATGGGGATCAGATACCCCCGCCCCGCAGGGAAGTCCTGGGACCACCACCGGCGTGGACCCCTGAACGACGGCACCTCCCTGCTTCTCGGGGTTGGGGGGCGGGGTGGGGGCCCCGGTGCGGCCAGAGCCCCCAGAGCGGGCCGGGCACCAGACGTGGGACACACCGGGTGCCGGGAGGGACCACGTGCCTCAGCCCGGCTCAGCCGCCGGCCGGCCCCCCCAGGGCCCTCCCTGAACCTCCATCTCTTCTTCTACGGGACAGGCGGGAAGAGCCAGCGAACTGAAGGGCCGCTGGGGCCACGGGAGCCAGGGGAGGGCCGGCCCGGCGGCCGGGTGTCCACTCCGGCCCGGCCCCGAGTCCCCGGTGACCTCGGCCCCTCTGGCGGCGCCGGCCGGGGAGCCAGAGGAGGAGGCCGTTCCCCAGGGGCCGGGGGCATCTGTTATCGACACCTGCCCCCTCCGTCTCCCTCGGCGCTCGCACACACACACACACACACGTAAGAGGGAGCGAGTGTGCAGGGCCCCACCACCCACGCTCGCCGCCGGAGCCCCTCGCCCCCGTAAAGATAACGGGAAATGATTCATAATATTTATTTGACAGACATGATATGAACCGTAATAGCCTGTTGGGATTAAAAATGTCCGTACGTCTCTGTCACCCACCAGCGTGGTTTAAATGTTATATATGTGGCCGCCGCGGCCGGGGGGACGGCGCGGTTATGGATGGCGGCCGTAAAGAGCCGCCGTTCGCCCTGAGGGGTGGGGGAGAGGTGCCCGCCCGCCCGCCTGCCGCTCCCGCGCTCGCCTCCGGGGAGGCGGCAGTCAGAGCGCGCCTTCGCCGCCCGCGGCGGGCGTCCGAGGAGCAGGGCTGGGCCTGGCGTGAGGCAGCAGCCCA